ATGTTATTTTTAAACAATAGCAATAATAATTTCCACTTATTGGGCCCTTATTGAGAGCTTTATGTCCATAATGGTTCTGTTTTGTTATTGTCATTGCTTTCTGGTGTTTGGGATTGTACCCTTCACCCACTGTAGGGGAGCACTACCACGGACCTACATTCCCAGCCCACTTTAAAATTTAACTAATTTAATTTTGTTTTACTTTATTTTAGGTAGGGTCTTGCTGAGTTGCCCAGGCTAGTCTCGAACTCATGATCTTCCTGTTTCAGCCTCTGAAATCCCTGGGATTAAGGCTGTGGGTCACTGCACCCGGCTGATCCATGTCTTTTAACCCTCACTGGAGACCCGTCCCAGTTGCTAGGTAAGGAAACGGAAGGTGAGAGGTGCAGTGACGTGTAATCAGCACGGCTTAGCATGGGGCTCCCGGCCAGGGAGTCACCCCTCTGCTCTCTCTTGTTCCTCATTTCTTTCCCAGGGAAGAACTGGAAATCGGGGTCATAGACAACAAGCCTCTTGCACTCTCAGAACATGGAATTCCTTCAGCTGGAATAAAGAGGAAAAAGCCGGAGTCAGGGGCCGGGACGGTAGGGGTCAGGGAGAAAGTGTGCAGAGACAATGACCAGAGAGCTCGGGGTCCATGCAAAGCTCCTGTGCGTAGTGAGCAGGGCCCAGAAAGCAGCACTCTTCTTACTCCAGCGCTGAGTCCCCTGTTGGCGGCTGCGGTTGTCACTTGTTTATTTCACTCTTTTGCGATGGACCAGATGTCCTAGGGGGTGGAGAAGAGATGCAAAGATGACTTGACCTTAGAGGAGAGCAGGCCGGACAGGCATCACCTCAGATTCAGTCCACCCTGACCGTCCCCCTGGGGACCTGCTTGAGTGAGTGCTCTGCCATGCCCGACGGCCCGCAGTTGTAGAACTGCGGCAACACTTGCACCAGGGTATGTGAAGTGTACGGCCCGGCGACTCTTAGCGTATCATTTTAAGACAGAATAATTCTAGTCTTAACGCAAGCCTCAAAATGTGTCTTGAGAAACATCCCGGAGGGGTTGTAAAAAGTTAACTTTGCAGTCCTGACTTAGCCCTGGAATGATTCTCCAAAGACAAAGAATACCAGGGCCTAGATAACCACCTACGACCCTGCCTGGGTTGTTGCATCCCTTCCCTGGCCCTAGATAAACATTGTAACCATAAAGGACATGTATGGTTATCTAAAGGGGGACATATAGAACAGAGTACAGAAAGTACATATCATTGTGGTTGGGCTCATGACTGGAGCTTGACCCAGTCACGTGACACAAGGAAAACAACACGTGGCCAGGGCTACAACATTCCAATCTGTTACCATGGAAACAAAAAATGTATATAAGCTGGGAACAAAGGCAGGTCCACGCCCACTTCCCTGACTTGCAAGTCGGGATGAGAGGTGACCCGTCTAAATTAAAACTTTGCCTGTTCTCATCAAGTTCTTTGGTCTCTTGCGGAATACAGCCCGAATTCTGCCGTAACAGAAGGACTTTGTGATGGATTGACAACGGTGGTCAACTTGTAACACTCAGCTGACTGAACCAGTGCAGTGCTGGGTATGGAGGGCGCACCTGAGCATTGGTGCCAACAACATAAAAGAAGAACTGGAGAGGAAGAAGTGGTGCTGTTAGAGGGCTGTTGGTTCTCCTGGAGAAACTTGTCACGCTGGCTTTCCTGATACGAACTTGGCTATTCTCATCACTGGAGGAGCTCGGGACCTTTTTGTTGCTGAGAATGGCTACGGTTCACTTTGGGGGAGCTCTGGTTCTTATTTTGAACATTGCTTCCTGGCTCCAGGGCAGATCCCTCAGCCTGCTGGCACAGACTTTCTAGCTTCCACCACTGACCTTGGAGCCTTCCCAGTGTAGATCCTTGGTACAGACTTGCACGAGACATTGTCGTGGGATCTGGGCCTCCAAATGGACTCATGAAGGCCATTAGGTCTTCAGCTGGACTCGTGCAGGACATTGCCATGGGATCCAGGCCCTCAGCTGGATTCTTTGGGTCTTTAGTGTGTGGACAGATTTCCTGCCCTCTCTTTGTATATGACTCTTTGGGTGACTATTATAAAATAATCCTATAAATGATATGTCCTGTAATATATTGTTTTCCTTGCAAACCCTAACTACAACAGATTCCCAAAAAATGTAACCCCAAAAGAATGAGTAATTTAGCCAATAGATGGGCAAATGAGCTGAAAAGACATCTCCCTAAAGAAGAAGTATGAATAGTCAATACCTATATGAAAAAATATTCACCATCTTTCACCATCAAGGAAATGCAAATTAAAACTACATTGAGATTCCATCTCCCCCCAGTCAGAATGGCTGACATCAAGAAAACAAGAAAGAACCGGTACTGGTCAGGTTTCAGGGGAAAATGATCCCTCCTACACTGCTGGGAGTATAAATTTGCATGGCCACTATGGAAATCAATGTGGAGGTTCCTCAAAAATCTAAAAATAGAGCTGCCATGTGACCCGGTGACACCACCCCGGGACAGAATCAAAGTCAACATTCTACAAAGATTCCTGTAGGCTTGTGCTTATCAAAGCTCTGCTCACATACCTGTCCACTGAGGTCTCCAGGAGCACAGGAGGCAGGCTGCGGTGGAAAGCAGAAAAGCTGGCCAGCCGTGGTCACGCACACCTGTAATCCCAGTACTCAGGTGGGTCACCATGAGCTCGAGGCCAGCCTGGGCTACAGAGTGAGTTCAGACTGAACTGGGCTACACAGCGAGACCCTATATATTTAAAAAAAAAAAAAGGAAGCAAGTTTATTCAAACGTACCTCCAAAGGAGACAAGGAGGTCTTTGCCTAACTCTTTGCCTCATCCTGCTCAAGTGTACAAAGGCTTTTGTTACAAGGGAGAGAGGGAAGCAACACAAAGAGACTATTATTAGATCAGGAAATGTCTTTTTCCTTTCTTTTTTTTTTGTTTTATTTTATTTTTTGTGGCACTGAGGATCGAACCCAAGTCTTCTGCACTAAGCTACATCCCAGTCCCACCTGCAACCTTTTAATTTTTTTTTTTTTTTTTTGTCTTTTTGAGACAGGGTCTTGCTATGCAGTTCAGGCTGGCCTTGAGCTCACTTATGTAGCCCAGGCTGGTCTCGAACTTGCAATGATCCTCCTGCCTCTGCCTCCCGAGTGCTGGGATTACAAACATGCGCCACCACACCTAGCTGCAACCTTTTAAATTTTGAGACAGGGTCTCACTAAATCCTTCAGTTGCCTAAACTAGGCTTGAACTTGCAGTCCTTCTGCCTCAGCCTCTCAGAGTCCTGGAATTACAAGCACATGCCACCATGCCTGGCTAAAATCCTAGTTTTGAAAGATCCATGTTATCTTCTTCTCTCTTACATTCACAGTAGCACTCACAAGTTACAGAATCAGCCTAGATGCCCTCCAACAGATGGATGGGTAATGAGGAGGTGGTACATCATGGGGCGTATCCAATCACAAAGAGGAACAGAATCATATGATTTGCTGGAAAACAGATAGAACTGGAGATCCCTCAGACTCTGGATACAAAGAGAATAAGACGGGCTCAGAAAGACCAGGACTGCAGCCTTCTCTCCTAGGTGGAGTCTGGACCATAAAGATGGTTAGGGCAGGGGCTAGGTCAGAGGGGGAGGACTAGGAGAGGTGACTAAGTGTTGGCTACAAAGAACATCCTACGCCTATGTGAAAATGTCCTAATGAAACCCGCTATTTTTGTACAATTGATACGAGCCAATAATAACAGAGAAACATGCTTCCAGCAGGAAGTTCCAATACTGACTTCGTCGCCAACTTGCTCTGGGAACTTGGACTTTGCTCGAAGCCTCAGTTTGCTCATCTGAAAATTGGGGCCAAAGCTCAGTTTTCCTGCAGAAGCCCCGGGGAATGAAATACCTGGTAGGATTCACGCTGAGCAAGCGGAGGAAATTCCGGATTCCCCCCTTTCCAAGAGCGAGTCTGAGAAAACCCCACTGAGCCCTTAGGAACTGAACTGTCCGATCCAGTAGCCACAGGCAACTCTGGCAAAGGAATACCTAATCGGTGATCAGGGCAACGGAGAAATTGAATGTAAAATTCTACTAAATTTTAATTATTGAACTGAAAAACTAGTCCCGATTTGGCTATTGGAAAATTTTAAAGTCTTTGATGTTGTTTCTGTTTCCGGTGCTGTTGGCTCTACCACTGAGCGACTTCCGTGGTCCTTTTTTTAAATTTGGAGACTGAGTGTCCCTCCGTCCCCCAGACAGAATCAAACTTGTGATCCTCCTGCCTCAGCCTCTTCAAGTGCTGGGGTTACAGGGATCTTCCACTGTACCCTGCAAAGTACATTTGAAACAACCTGACATGTCAAGTCACCTTTCAAGCTGTGCATTTGATGGCATCAAATAGATATGAAGTGTTTCTGATAAAATTTAGAGCTTGAATTGAGATTCGCTGTGTGCAAAATACCCACCAGATGTCAGACTTTTTTTGTAAAGAATGTAGAATGTTTTGTCAATAATACTTCAGGGTTCCATGCTGAAATGATAATTTTTGGGTAAAATTAAATATACTATCAAAATAATTTCTCCTTCTTTGTGACTTTCTTAATATGGCTACCTGGCTTACACGATGTTTCTGTAGAAGGTTGCTTGCTTTAGGGTGTTTTTAGACAAGGCCTCGCTATGTAGTTCAGGCTGCCCTTAACTCACTTTGTAGCCCAGGCTGGCCTCCAACTCATGAGGATCTTCTTGCCTCAGCCTCCGAGTATCGGGATTACAGGCGTGCGCCACCATGCTCCAGCTTTCAAATCCCCGTGAACTGTATTGTTAATTTCTCTTTCAAAATTCACATGGCCCCAGCATACCGAAAAACTTGCTCTCCCTCCCAGCCCCTTGTCTTCGCTGGTTTCCGCCCTCTCCCCGTGGAACAGCCCTCTCTGGATTCAGGCCCGGTCCACCCCGCCCAGCACATCTGGAAGCTGGAGCGGGCCCCGCCCAGCACATCTGGAAGCGGAGGCCGTCTTCTCCCTCGGCGGCGCAGAGTGGAGCCAGGACGCGTCCACGCAGGCGGGGACGGAGCCTCTGCCTCGCCCCGGCCGCGTCTCCATGGGGCCGTAGAAGCCGCGGGGGCCGCAGCGACGCCCCTGCCCCTGCCCGGCCTGCCCAGGAGCCCGGGTCCTGCCCGCTGCATCAGGTAAACGGCCGGCCCTTCAGTCTGCTGAGACTCAAATAGGGCCGAAAGTGCAGACCGCCCTGCAGGAGCCTGGCCTTCGAAACCGCTGTCTTGTCTGTCTGTCGCATTCCGATTCCTCCCCTCCCCCCGCACCTTTTTTGCCAGTGCAGCAAATCCAAGATGTAAGGTTTTCACCTCCAGAACAACTTTGGCAGATCCGGGTTTTTTCCCCGGGTCTCCCCTAAATAGTGCGATGTATGATCTGCTCCAGCTTTTAAGGCCCGAGGCCCGCGGTTTGAGAGAACGTGGATTGAATGCAGGTATGTTTCTGAGCCGCAGACGCCTCCAGTCCTGATCCATGTTTTGGGAATCTATCTGGGAAACGGTTTGAGGGTTTTTGTACCCAGGAAGAGAGCTGGCAAGTCTGTGTGGGGTCCACTGTAAGTACAGTCAGGCAGCGTTCGGGTTGGAGTGCTTTTTTTACGTACTGGGGATTGAACCCAGGGCCTTTGTGTTGAGCTACATCTCCAGGCCTCCTCTAAAAAACTTTTAGACAGGATCTTACTAAGTCATTAAGTTGCCCAGGCTGGGCTCACACCTGTAATTCTCCTGCCTCAGCCTCCCAGTCCTCTGGGATGACAGGCGTGCGCCACCCCGCCAGCCTGCTTTTTAACCTTCAGAAAATGTCTTTTGTTCACCATATCAACAAGTGTAACGCACTGGATAAGTCTGGTGTGTAGATATGTGACATAAGGTAAGAAGTGACAATCAACGCAAGAGTAAACAAGGAGAAAGAGAGCGATATTGTCTCAACATCTGGCTGTGCCCGGGGTGAGATCATCCTGTAGCTGAGCGCTGCATAGCCGGATCCCCAAGGTGGTGTGGGGACATGGCTTTGTCTGTTCCCCTTCCTCCGGAGCCTTGGTTTCCCTTGGGTCATACGGTGGATTTCAGTCCTCCCTGTGGTCCAGCTGCGCCTGCCACGATGACACACAGGCCCTAGGTTCAGATGCAGGAAGTTTATAACCCTGATTCTGGGCACATGAAATGGCATGTGCCTCTACTTCCCCATCTGTAAAATGGGACTAAAATGCATCACCTTGATAGAAGCCAATCAGCTTTGGTCATGCTGATGATGGCAGTGGTGATGACAAGAGTGACCGCACATCCTGCACTTGGTCATGGCCCGCCTTCTCCCACTGCCTGCTAGCCACCTGGTCATTGAAGTGTTTAACATATGGCACATGGCATTGCTCTGGGACCTGCTTCCTTCCCTGGCCCCACCACCTTCTTCCCTCCCTCACCTCATCCCTTCCTCTTCTCTCTTTTCTTTTTCTTTCTTCCTTCCTTCCTTCCTTCCTTCCTTCCGTCCTTTCTTTCTTTCTTTCTTTCTTCCTTTCTCTTGAACAGGATCACAGCTGGCCTTGAACTTGCCAAACTGCCCAGGTTGGCCTCAAACTCATAATCCTCCTGCCTCAGCCTCTTGAGTGCTGAGATTACAGCAAACGCCTCTCCTTCTTTTTTCCCACTCTGTTCATAAAGCCTCATAGCTTTCTTTTCTAGTTCTCAGGGAACGTGGTTCTCTAAATGTTTCTTCATGTCAGCATTTTCCAAAGAATGTTCAAAAGAACGTGTCCCACAGGAAAAGCAGCTCTGGAACTTTATCACTTTATCAAGACCTTAGGCATGAAAGGTCCCGAGAATGCCATGGGGGACAGCGTCACTCAGGACTTCATGGCATGGTGTCCATGGACATCTCCCAGAGCTCCCGGGCTGTCCTCACTTTTCTCCCGATGGGTACCCTACTTCATACCTCCCCTGTGGACAGCGGTGGGTTACTCATTCTTTCTTCCCTGGTGCTGGGTCTGGATGTGTTGTGTCTTCCAGAGGTTCACAGTGCTGGTGACTTGGTCCTCAAGGGAGCCGTGCTGGGAGAGGGTGTGGGGCTTTAAGGGGTGGAGCCTGGGGGAGGTGGTCGCATCTTCGACTGGGTACCTTGTCCTATGCCAGAGCTGGTGACATCTCCACTGGTGTACACAGCTTGTCCTATTGAAGTCATTCCGCAGCACCTTTCAGTGGCCGCCATCCTTTTTCTTCCTGTTTGATTCCTGGGTGTGATGGTTGACGTTGATGTGCAGCTTGGTTGGCTTGGGAGCAGCCCAGGACATGGGTAAAGCTCACTTATGAGTGTGTCTGGGTGGTCAGGGAGATGTGACCTTGAGTCTCTGTTTGGTCCCTCACCCCTGTCTGTCTGGCGCTCTTCTTCTGCCCTGCTTCCTGGCCACCATGAACTGAACTGAACAGCTTTGCTCTCTCACACCTTTCCACCGTGCTGTTCCTACCTGGCCATGGACTGCACCCCTGAAACCATAAGCCACATTGAACTTGTTCTCCTTCAAGTCCTGGGTGTCAGGTACTGTGTCCCAGCAACAAGAAGGTGACTAATACACCGGTCCTTTCCCTGTCTTCCCCTACCTGCACCCATGGCAGACATGATTAATCAATCAAAGCATACCCCCTCTATGGATCAGGTGATGCTTTAGTTTTGTTTTGTTTTTTTTTTTTCTCCCAGTACCGGGAATCGAACTCGTGACCTTGTGCTTGCCAGGCAGGTGCTGTGCCACTGAGCTAGATCCCCAGCCCCGATGCTTTAGGTTTTGCCTCAGCCTAGCAATCCTGAAAGTCCCTACCAACTGATGAGAGTTACAGTGTAAAATATCACTCGAGGGCTCTGATTTCTTAAGTATTTTTCAGACGTATCCTTCCACTTTTGCCTCTCACAAAGCCCATTAGCCACAGCCAGGTCTGGAAGCGTTTTCTTTCCAGACTGACCACAGCCCAGCTCTCTGACACCTGACAGAACAGCTCCCCATGCAAGACTTCATGGGCAACTTAAACTGCACCAGCCTCCTCTGGAGCTCCTTCCCCTCTTGCCACACCAGCCCCAGCTGCCCCCACCCAGGGCCTCGCCTGGGAATTCCTCTGCCCAGTGCTGCTCCCTGGGGTGGGCCCTTTACTGTCACAGGGGAAGCCTGGCAGGAAAGTGTCCCTCGGCCTGGAAGCTCACTGAGAGTGGTTCTGGGCTCCCATGAGACCCCTGTGCTTCTGTCCCTGGAATGTGGCCATCGACCCTTCTCTTCCTTCTTCCTGGAAGTTTGGCAGACCCCTTTCTCCATGGGATTAAAGAGCCAAGTTCAAGGCCAGTCTGGGCTACACAGTGAGTTCAAGTGAGCCCTTGTCTCAAAATAAATAAGTAAATAAATAAAATCAATGACCAAAAGAGAAAAACTGTTCTGCTTCATGGAGCTTCTAATGTACTTTCTGGACAGCCGAGGATAAGCCAAGGTGACAGAGGCAGTGCTCGGTGTGGTGGTGATTGCTGAGAAGTGACGTATGTGCACCTTGGCTGGGGTTAGGGCTTTTGGCTCAGGGCCTGAGGGAAGCAAGGGGTGGAGAAATTCCCTGGATATCCCGGAAGAGCTTTTCCCACAAAGGTGACTGCAGTGGAAAGGCTCTGCAGCTGGGGTCTGCTTGGCAAGGAGCCCTGGGCACTGTGTGAGGTCCTGGGTGAGGACTCTCTGAGGACTTCGGCTCCCCTCTGAGGCAGACAGGAAGGCCATGAGGGTGTTGAGCAGAGAAACCCGAGTCTGACTCCTAGCAGAACTGGCTCATGGTGGCTGCTCGGCTAAGAAGCCAGCCGTCGGAGGCAGCAGATATGGTGGAAAGATAGTGGAGATGGGGCCAGGGGGAGGCCCTGCAGCTGGGACAAATCCTGGATTTACTCAGAGAGGAGACTGGGCAGGATGTGTGTCGGTCCACATGGGGGGAGTGAGACATGGAGAGGGGTCCGGGGTACACCAAGCTCATTTCTTGCTGGAGGGGGATAGGAGGAGCATATTTGGGGGGTTTCAGGAGCTCAGTGTGGACCTGGGACAAGGCCTTCAAGTGGAGGCCTTCAAGTGGAGACACCAAGTAGCAGGTTGGACTTAAGGGCCACTGTCTCTGGGAGGCCCAGCCTGGGGACAGAAATGTGGGTGTTGTCAGGGTCTGAGTGGTGTTTAAAGCTGTGAGGGGATGAAAGATTTCCTCGGGAGGGAGTTTAGAGAGGAAGAGAAGATATCAAAGACTGTGTGCCCAGAGGCTTTCACCTTTAGAAGTTTAGGAGGTGGGAACTAAGGAGAGTGTACCAGCAAGATGCTTATGGCTCAAGGGTACAAAAGCATAAATCTTCCATTTGAGAAGAGAGGCTGCCCTGTAACTCTGCTTCAGAAAGAATACCTAGTGGTTTGGTTCCCCAGAATTCATTTCACTGGGCTCAGCCCTTCAGGCACTCAGAAGCCTCTGCAGCCATGGTGTGAGGGGGCCTGGCTGCTGCTTCAGCAGGTGGCAACCCTTGGCATAATCCATGTGATGCTGAGATGCAGTTATGCAGAATGCAAGAATTATGGGGACATGGAGACTTTACCCACATTTCAAAGGAAGGGCTGAGAGGCCAGGCAAAAGTGCCAGGATTTGGGTCCCTGCCAAGAGCCCCTGAGAGAGTGATGCATGAGGGAAGCCAGAGCTGCAGTGGAAGGGGCTGGGGATTTAGCTCAGCGGCAGAGTGTCTGCCTGGCAAGTGCAATGTTGTAAGTTTGATTCCCAGTATCAGAAAAAAAAAAAAAAAAGAAAAACCAAAGGTGCAGTGGAGACCTCAGGAGCTGGAGGCACCTGAGAAGTAGAAGTCCACTGAGGAAAAGCTGCAGGTGGCAAGTAGAGCCAGCCCAAGAGAGAGGCCATGTGGGCTGTACCTAGCAGGGCCACAAGGCAGGGGCTTCCTGAGCCCTTGGGAGCTTACATCATGCCACCACATGCCCAGATGCCAGACACACAGCTATAGGGTGTGATGTTTGCCTTGCTGGGTTTTGGTCCTGCTTTGGTCCTGTTCTGTTCTATACCTTGGCTCCTCCCTTTTGGAATGGAATGTTCATCCCCTGCCTTTGAATCTTGGTAGCTTATAATGTGCTTGCTGAATTTCACAGGGGCTCACAGCTAAAATGTTGCCTTCAGTCTTAAGGAGACTTCGGACTTGGACTTTCGAACAGTACTGGTCTGTCAAGACTTTAGGGAAGGGATTAGTGCATTTTTGATGTACATAGGATAGTCGTAAAATGGTAGGAAGGACTATGACTTGGTTATTGTGTCTGTTTGGAGACTGAATATGGTTTAGTGAGATAGAGTTGGGAGTCAGGTTGACGGGGGGTGCATTGTGCCAGTTAACCTACACTGTCAACTTAACCGGATTAAGAGACCCCTGGAGAGGTGCGTGGGTTGTGAGGATGCTTGGTTCATTGAAGGGTTAGCCCAGCAATGATGGAGTGGGGTGCGCCTGGTGATGACATCTAGCTCCTGGTCCCTTCCTCATGGGCCCTGCGCTGTTCTCTGTTTCCTGGATACCATGAGCTGAGCAACTTCCCTCCGCCACGCCTGTCCTTCACGGTCCTCCTGCTATGTAATCGCTGGCTGCGGCCTGAAACAGTGACACTTGGACCTCTCCTTCGAGCTACAGGGGGCAGGTGTCTGTCCCGGCAGCAGGAAAGCTGAGCCTACCCACTGGCTGACTTCATATGTACACTCTGATCCAAAAATCTCAAACTCCTTGCCAGAAAACAGCCGTGGGTTCCCTTACTTTTTCTTAGTCTTAAAAAAGAAAATATCTATTCTAGTATCCAATAAAGAATCTGACACTTAAAATTTTACAGCCAGGGGTCTGGGGATTTAGCTCAGCGGCACAGCGCCTGCCTGGCAAGCGCAAGGTCGTGAGTTCAATTCCTGGTACTGGAAAAAAACCAAAACCAAAAAAAAAAAAAAAATTTACAGCCAGTAACGTTATAACACAGCATCTAAAAAGCTAAAAGTCCCCTATTCCATCCAATTTCCTAGTTCTTGGAAAACGGATGCTTAGGTTTTCAGCCTGTTGTATTTTATTTCAGGGATGTGTGCAACTAACTGGACCATTTTGACCATTCTTTCTGAATTGTAGATCCTGTGTTTAGCGTTTCCAGTTCTACAGGCATAGGTAGTTTTTAAGGAATCGACCATATTCTTATAAATATTTTAATGATAATTAAAATGATAGAAAGTTGCCAGGCATGGCTGTGTACATTTGTGGTGTACAAAAATGAAAAAAATAGTGATTGCCAAGCACACTTGAATAGAATTTTAGTTCTTTTTCTTTTTTTTTAGACAGGGTCTCACTATGCAGTGCAGGCTGGCCTTAAAGTCACTATGTAGCCTCAAACTTGCATTGATTCTCCTGCCTCAGCCTCCTGAGTGCTGGGATTACAGGCATATGCCACCACACCCGGTAAATTTTAGTTCTTGAAGTGAGATTTTTGTTGTGTTCTTCAGCTTTATGGACAAAATGGACATATAACAGTTATGTATCTTCAGGGCACACTGTGTGGTGTTTCGATAGCCACATGATCGAAATAACTAGTGAAATAACTGCCACAGTCAAGGAAACGAATGTATCTTCACCTTCCTTAGTTGTCTTTTGCGCAGGTGGTAAAAACACGTAGGATCTACTCTGAGCAGATTTCAAGTACACAGTACCTCATTAGCCACCGTCCTCGCGTTGTACTTCAGCTCCCCATAGCTTCTCTGTCCTGGAACTGCAAGTCTGTACCCTTTCACGACGCTTCCCTGTTCCCAGCCTTTCTCTCTGGTTCTGTGAGTTCCACCTTTTTAGCAGGAAATCGCACAGTACTTACCTCTCCATACCTGACTTACTGCCCTTAGTATTCCTCCTGCACTCAGGGCTCTGCTCCAGCTCCCCGTCAACTATGTGTCACTTACACGTGCCAGTGACAAAAAGCAGCAAAGAACCCACTGTACCCATATATTAAAATTCATAGAATGATACAGCCAAGTGAGTTCTCATGCATGCAGATTTGGAAACACTTAGGTTCGGGAAGTGGGGCGCAGCTTGCCGGCCCCGGCTGTGGCCGCAACGGCCCAGCGTGGTTCCCGGATGGCCCAGGCTGACGGGCTTCGGAGTCGGAGGGCACCGCCTGCCCACGGCTCTGGCGGCTGCGCTGCCGTCACGGGGCCTCCCGGAGCCGCGGTTGCCCGGGTGAGGAGGACGACAGAGCTGTGCACAGGCGCGTTGGAGCACAGTTTGTTCACCGGCCTGATTGCTGAGCACAAACGCACTGCAGAGCGCAGGGCGAGGGTGGGGGTGAAGGGTGGGGAAGCTTGCCGTAAACCTGCGTGCTGGACCGGCTGCTTCCGGGCTCCCTGGGCCCAGCGTGGAGTCTCTCTGCAACCTAGACTCCAACCTCCCACAACCTAGACTGCGACCCTCAGCGCACCAAGGGTGGGAGTGGATCCCGCGCCCGGGGCTGTTCCCTCTCTCCCTTCTCTGGGGTACACTGCACCCTCCAGGTTCAAACTCCATCGCATCTCAAGCTGCCTTTGGACTCTCTGAAGTTGCGATGCATTTTTTGGTGTGAAATGTTAAGTTTAAAACTCATATCCACAGCACTCGGGAGGCTGAGGCAGGAGGAGCACTGTGAGTTCGAGGCCAGCCTGCGCTATGTAAGTGAGTTACATAGTGAGACCCTGTCTCAAAACAAAAAACAAAAGACAGCTCACATCCGTGGAACAACTGGATCTTCACCGGCTAAAAAACAAAGTTTAAGCTCTACTTCATGCTATGTACAAAATTACCTTAAAATATAAATATAAAAGATAGACTTCCAGAAGAAAACGTAAGAGAAGTCCACCACTACTTGGGTTAGATGTGACACCAAAAGCATGTTCCATAAAAGAAAAAATGGTTACTACGACATGGTCACAATTAAAAACTTTCGGGCTGAGAAATTCATTGTTAAGAGAATGAAAAGAAGCCTCACACTGGGTAAAAATATTTGCAAATCGCATATTCAACAAAGGGCCAGAATATATAAATAACTCTCCAAATTCAAAACTAAGAAAATCTGACCAAAAAATAACGCAAAAGATTTAAACAGACACTTCGCCATATGCAAATGGCAAATGAATAAATAAAAATAAGCTCAGTATCAGTAGTCATTAGGGAAATGCAAATGAAATTCACAGTGCAGGGGCTGGGGATTTAGCTCAGCGGCAAAAGCGCCTGCCTGGCAAGTGCAAGGTCGTGAGTTCGGTTCCCGGTACCGGAGAAAAACCAAAAAAGAAAAAAAAAAAAAAAAAGAAATTCACAGTGCAATATACCTATCAGAACAGCTAAAATAAAAATACCCGCAATACCAAGTGTTGGCAAGAACACAGACCATAGTCTCTCCCTTCGCTGGTGGGAATAAAAGTTCAAACCTGTTTCTACTTAGGAAAAGAGACCAGCGATTCTCAGAAAGTTAAATACGCAGCTGTCCAATGAGCCAGTAGTGCTACGTGTAGGTGTTTATCTCTACCATCACACAAAACCTGTAAACAAGTGTTGGTAGAAGCATTATTTATAGTCGTAAAGCCCTGGCAACAACGAAGATGTCCTTTGGGGGGTACATGGTTAGATAAATGTGTATGCACAGCACAATTTGACAGAATATTTTTCAGCAACAGAAAGTTACAAACTACTAATACACACAATACCAAATACATTATGCCGAGTGAAAGAGCGGATTGCGCTTTGTATATCCATTTATATGACGTTCTCGTTGTACGTGATACAAGAACGGATCAGTGGTTGGCAAGGGGCAGGTGCTGTGCTGGGTCTACTCGGAAAGGGAATCCTTTGGGAGGGTTGAAATTGTTCTCTTTCCCATTTGTGATTTATTTTTTTATTTTTTGGAAGTGGGGATGGAATTCAGGGCCTTTGTACGTAGGCCCTGTCATCTCCTCTGATTCGGAGGCTCAAAGTTAGGGCCCACTCCCACCCCTGTGGACACGCCCTGTGGTGCCCGACACACTGATCCTGTCGTCAGCGCCTGGGGGTACCGCAGAAGTTGAGGACCGACTGTTAGACCTCCCGGCTCCTGAGTGGCCCCTGCACCACTGGCCTGGGCCAGGTTCCTGTGGGTGAGGGACAGCCCTGCCACGGTCTCCCTCCAGTGGTCATTTCTTTGCAAATCTTAGCTCTGGGGCTGTCATGAAGTCACAGCTGACAGAGTCCCAGCTCCCTGGCAGACGCCGGCGGATCTGTTCCCGTCCCTCCCCAGCCCCTCCAGCCAGCCCTCTCTGGGTCATCGGTGGCCTGGCCTCCCTGGCCTTCTTGGGTTCCTGGAGTTCTCAAAGCTCTTTCCAGTCACAGGGCCCCGGTCCTTCCACCTGGAATTCTCCCCCCACCCTGCTTTTCCTCGCTGTAAAACCCCCACTCCTCCAGGAAGCCTCCCCCGATTTCTCTTCCTGGCGCACTTTCCACCCCATTCGTCCTATCCCAAGACCTCCTTTATTTCCTTCATGACCCTTGATCCAGTGACTGCTATGCGTGAGGCTCAGTTTGCCCAGTACTGGGAGCGCCCTGAGGCCAGGGACAGGCGTCATCACGGCCCACAGCACAGCACTGTGCTTCCAGGAGGATCTCAGTCACCGCAGGGTGGTGACTGCTCACGGAGGTGAGGACAGTTCCGTTTCCACAAGGGCCTCTGGAAGCGCCCGGGCTCTGTTTGGAAATTAAAACCCCTGAAGGCAAAACAGTGTCTCTTGCTGGGTGCAATGGCTTACCCGTCTAATCCCAGCACTCAGGAGGCTGAGGCAAGAGGATTGCTGAGCTTGAGGCCAGCCTGGGCTACATAGTGAGTTCAAGGTCAGCCTGAGACTCTGCCTCAAAAAACAAAACAAAACAAAACAAGTATTTCTTGGGGACCCATTGTATGGTTTGTTCAGCCACAAGGATAAAGAAATATTTATTTTCTTTCCAAAACTCTAGATTCAGAACAGTAAGCGGTTCCAAGGTTTGAAAACTTCCCAACACTCCCGACCTTCAGAGAAGACGTGGTCCTGAGCACTTGTGGTGACTTTGGGTCGATTCTCGTTTAAACAAAATGTGATCCTTCAGTCTGCAGGTGCCGGCTCTCACCCCCGTGGACATACATGGCGCTGCTACGGAAAAGTAAGATCACAGTTCTGGAAAGTACCGATTAGAAAAGATGCTAAGCCCCCGCCCCCGACATCTCCGCCTGTCGCGGGCGGATCACTTTCCCCAGGCAGCTCTTGGCCTTCTTATTTCAGGAGAATTCCCGTGGCAGGTTGACTGTCGCCATCAAGTGTGGGCCTGTCGTGAGGAGGGTCACATACATCCATCAAACTTGGCAAATAAGATTAGTTGTCTCCTTCTAGACAGATATGCACCTTCATGTCTAATGCAGCGTTTGAGTATTCTGTATCTCTATTCTTTTTTGTGTGTGTCTTTTTGAGACAGGGTCTCACTATGCGGTTCAGGCTCGCCTTGAGCTCACTTTGTAGCCCAGGGTGGTCTCGAACTCACAACGATCCTCGTGCCTCAGCCTCCCGAGTGCTGGGATTACAGGTGTGTGCCGCCACGCCCAGCCCTGTATCCCTATTCTTAAAGGATCAAACCAGATCTTCAGACACTGAAGCCCTGTGTAGCTTGTGAGTTTGAGGGAAAACACTGTCCCCGAGTTGTGTCAGTGTCGCTGTACTCTCGGGGCAGAGTTGCCTGATTTCACAAAGGGAAACCAAGGACGTTCGTCAGAAACTGGCTTTCCACACTGACTTAATGTTACTCAAAGCTGCAAACACGGGGCTGGGGATTTAGCTCAGTGGCACAAGCACCTGCCTGGCAAGCACAAGGTCCTGAGTTCAATCCCTAGTACCGCAAAAAAAAAAAAAAAAAGAGGGAGAAGAGTATGTAAAACATACAATTCCTTTTTGGGCCAGGCATGTAGCTCGGTGGCATGAGCACTTGCCTGGCAAGCCTGAGGTCATGAGTTCAATTCCCGGTACAAAAAAAAAAAAAAAAAAAGCTGCAAACATGAACACCCTGCGTGGTTTCATGCACAGCCAGTGGTGTGGCCCCTACCTGGAAACACTGTCCCAATCCCCGCACTTCTCAGTAGATCCCCAGAGCAAGCACCTGAGTATGGACCAGAGGGCCCCCGGGCCTTAGAATGGGGCCAGGTGTTGATCTCTCCCAGCCTTTTACCCGAGACAAGGATTTCTGCATACCGTCCTTGACCAGCGGGTAAGGTAACTAAAAAGCCGCTGTGCTCTTATAGCTGAAAACATGTACTTGCCCGGCGTGGTGGTGCATGCCTATAATAATCCCAGCCCTCCAGAAGCTGAGTTCAAGACCCCTGAAGATCACCGGGAGTTCGAGGTCAGCCTGGGCTACAAAGTGAGTTCAAGCCCGGCCTGGACTACATAGCAAGGCCCTGTCTCAAAAAGACAAAAACAAAACAACAACCTAAACTAAAGAAACAAACAAACACGTGCTCGTGATCAGGACTGGCTCATCCGAAGCACCGTGCAAATACTGGCATCAGGAAACAAAATATTCCCGCAGAGAGGGCCGCAGAGGCAGCGCGCTGCCATACCTAAGTGCATGGCCTGCGCCGCCGACAGACTGCCTGGTTAGTTTGGTCTCTCTTGGCTTCCTCTGTGTGTCCTTGGCAACCGGGTACCGGGTCCAAGCGCTGCCCACACCCTCCGTTAGAGGAAGGCTGCTCACACGGCCTTTCTCAACTTCCCCTCGCCTCCCGGGAGTGGGTTCCACGCCGACCTGCTTCCGTTTTCATTGCAGTCAACCAGGCGCTGCTGTTCCTTCTGATTGTGACCGTCTGCGGGATTCTGTACAAGAAGGGGCACAAGGGGGCTGTGCCCAAGAGTGGAGCAGGTAAGCGGGCGAGGGGTCCGGAGGTGGGACCCCGGCCAGGAAGAGACGGGGCCCCTGGCCGCCTGGGAAGGTGCTCAGGAGCGGGGACCAGGGAAGAGCGACAGCTCGCTCAGCCCCCAGAACTGTGTGCAGATGTGTGCTCAGCCGATCAGGGTTGCTCAAGCTTAGGGTGTGCGACATTTCCGAGGAGGGGTTGCTCAAGCCACCAGCGGCTGCCCCACAGTTTAAGAACTGTAGGTGGGGTTAGGGCCTGAGAATTTCTATTTTTTAATCTTTTTATTTGTTTCTTTTTCTTTTTTTCCATACTGGGGATTGGACCTAGGGCCTTCACACTGAGCTACATTCCTCATTTTTTTTTTTTTTTGGAGGCACTCAGACATTAAATTGTCCAGGCAGGACTTGAACTTGCGACCCTGCTGCCTCAGCCTCCCCAGTGTTGGGGTTCTACCACACCTGGCTGAGAATTTACATTTCTGATGGGCTCTGATTTTGCTTATGAAAATTAACCCTTCCTTGCGTCCCCCTGCTAATCCATTACCATCAGTGCCGTCTCAGAACTGTCAACTTAAGAGTGACTCTTCACTTACCCCACCTTCTTGGCTGGGTGCGCCGAGGCACCCTTCCTTGGGGTGACTGCACGGCACCGCACTTCCACACTGACAAGACCCCAAAACGAAGATGCCCTGGTAGTGTGCTTATTCTATTTTTAATTACATTAGTTTTTATAAGAATCAAGCGAATACACGCATATATGGAAAATACAGAAGAGACAGATGCGATCCATAGCTGCATGAGACAAAGGCAGCTCATGCTCTGGCGCGTTGTACACACATCCACACCACGCTTGGGGCTGGAGCCACCTAGCGAGCAAACAAGGGCGAATCAGTGACGCAGGTGGAGACAGGGCGGTTCTTCCAAACTGCGTGCCAGGCTGGAGGGCGGCTCGGTGGTGGAGCACCCGCCTGGCGCGCGTGAGGCCCTGGGTTCGAACCCTAGCACCACAGAACAAGAGAAAACCCCAGAAGGGTCACTCTGCTAAACAGAAGAAGCCAGGCCCGACAGACTTGTGGCGCACAGTCCCTTCTGGGACGTGTACAGCAGGACAGGCAGCTCTGCGGGGCGGGAGGCAGGCAGGGGTGCGGCTCGGGAGGGGCCTGGCTGCACACAGGCGACAGAAGTGCTCTGAGACAGGATCGTGGCCAAGGTGGTAACAACCCCACAAATTTCCTAAAAATCATTGAGCTGCGCTTAGGATCTGTAAGTGTGAAGATTTGCTGAGGCCGCTGTACCACAATACCGCAGGTGACTGCGGCTGACCCCAGGGACAGGGGTTTTCCCACAGCTCTGGCGGCCGGCAGGTCGGGCGCAGTGCCGGCAGGGCTGGCGTCTCCCGAGACCTCTGTCCCTTGGCCCCAGGGTGGCCACCTTCTTGCTGTGTCCGCCCAGTGCCTTCTCTCTGCACTTGTCCCGGCATCGCTTCCTCTTCCAGGGGAGCAGTGCTTTTTGCATAGGGAGCCACTGCCTGGATGGCCTCGCTTTCACCCAGTTTGTTCCTGAAAGGCTCTGTCTCCAAACAGCCACTCCTGGAGTTGAGGGGCTTAGGACGTGGACAGGTCGGAGGCCACGTCTCACCCCTCGCAGTATCTGCATCATGAATTACTCTGCAGGAAGCTGTGCAGAAGAGAGGGGGTGGGAGGTCACACAAGGCCACACGTCCCCCGAGCTTCAGTCGCTGCCCACGACCAGCACACCTGCCCTGCTCAGCCCAGTCTTAAAACAGCTGTGAAAACAGCTGCACGAAAGGCTGGTCTGGGCGGCACAGTCAGCGTCAGACCACGAACAAAGCCTTTGGAACACGTGAACAGACCCAGGGTCCCACTTTTACCTCGTTCAGTGTTAGAACTGGAAAGGAATCCTCGTTACTGAAATACCACTCAGAGCAGTGCGGTGCCCCTGTGGGGAGCCCCCCTCGGTGTGAGAAGTGTAAGAGCGAGTTGCAGAGAGTATGAAAATACTGTTCCACCAGGAGGTCACAATTACGCCTGGACCGTTTAGAGTTTATACGAAGCGGGGTTCGCCGGCTCACCTCACACTGGCCGCAGAGGTCCTCCTGTGCAGAGGGTGTGGAGAAGTCCACAAAATTGTCATGATTTACTGGACATTCTTCAGCTTGGGCTGTAACTCTTGCACGTAGTGTGTGTTAAATTTTATAATTTAAGAAACGCTGAGCTGGGCATGGTGGCGCAGGCCTGTAATCCCAGCACTCGGGAGGCTGAGGCAGGAGGATCCAGAGCTGTAAGTCGTGTGCAGAAGGTCTGTGGAGTTGCACGTCACAGAGAAGCAAGATGTCATTCCTGAACCTCCCTGTCGTGACGCTGCGCGTGATCCCCGACCATTCGTGAAAACGAGGTCATCCAGCCAAAATAGTGCTCTCTGCCAAGAAGTTTCCCTGGCATAGAAAGGACAAAGACACTGGAGATGGCCAGGAAGGTGCACCGGCTACAGCCACACCCTCATCGCACCCACCCGGGAGCTTCTCTGGAAACGGCTGCACTCTGGACCCCAGTCCCCCTGGCGCCTGAGCCAGCCCCGCCAAAGGTTTCGCTACGGCCACGATTTGATGCCAACAGAACTGGAAAGCACAGCAGCGATGGATGAGTGGGAGGGAGTGGTTCTGTGTTAGCCCAATGCCTGCTCCGAGGACAGGGGAGACGTCTCTCCCAGTGCAAAACTTGGCCCCCCATTCGAAAAGGATGATTTTAGCCAAGTCCATTAACTTGCTTCACAACAGATGAGACGGGGTGAGTCCCCAGCGTGCGAACACCAGGGAATGGTCGGGGATCACGCGCAGCGGCATGACGGAGAGGTCCAGGAATGACATCTTGCTTCTCTGTGACGTACAACTCCACAGCCCTGCACACGACTTATAGCTCTGGTTCCCTGAGTCAGTGTTGTTTTTTTTTTTTTTTTTTTTGAGACAGGGTCTTGCTCTCAGTTCAGGCTGGCCTTGAGCTCACTTTGTAGCCCAGGCCGGCCTCGAACTGACCACAATCCTCCTGCCAGGCCACCGACTGGCAGAGGACCTTAAGGAGTGTAGCAGGGGGCAGTGTCTGCAGCAGAAATGGTGAAGGTGTGATCAAAAGTGATGGTAAATGTTTCAGTCTTTACAAAAGTTTATTGCACCGAAAGAAACACTGCGATGAGTCCCCCTCAAAATCTTCCCCCTCACTTCAAACGCATTCCTCCCATCGTTCCTGTCACTTTCTGCAGCAGCTCTGGAGTCCTCTTCCTGAAGTGTCTTTAGCTGTGCTGTCCTGGCTGCCTCCATGTCCTGAACTGATTCAAAATCTTGCCCTTTCCTGGTCATTTTGACTTTGGGGACGAGCCAGGAGTCACACGGCGCCAGATCCCGTGAATGAGGTGGAGGAGGACACTCTGTTGTGTTTTCACAATCTGCCTTTCTCCGGGATGGCACTTGGCGGCAGCAGTCATTGTACTGTTTGTCACATCTTTTAAAGACGCTCAGAATCGAGGACTCTCGAGCCGCTGCAGAAAGTGGCAAGGGTGAGGATGAGTGTGCTCCAGGTGGGGGGGCGGAGTCACGGCAGTGTGTCTTTCACTGTAGTAAATGTTTTCAATGCTAACATTCACGGTGTATTTTGATCACGTGTGCACACCTTTGAGCTTCTCTCGTGGTGTGCGCTCTCCTGGGGACACCCTCCTCCTGGCTCACCTGCCTGCTGCCTGCTGAACACCTCGCTGTGCCCCTGGGATCCAGGCTCTGCCCCTGCTTTTCAGCTCCGCTCTCTTTGCCCTCAGGCCAGCACGCAAAGCTTCCACAGGCCAGCTCTCTGGGGCGGCCCCATCCACTCGGCTCTCTTCAGCAGACTTTCCCTAAGCATTTCCAAGTACCGGGCTCAGCGGGGAGAACAGCACGAGCTCACAGTCCTGTGAGGAGGCGGACGTATATAAATAAGCTCTTCAGATGCCACGTGGCAAACCCTGGCAAACTCACCCAGCCATCTCTCCACCCAGAATGTCTGCAGAGTGCAGAGGGTGCAGAGACGAACAAGATGCCGCCTCTGCCTGGTAGAGCTCCTGCGTGGTCGGAGGGAAAGACACACAGTCCAGCTGATAAATCCACCTGCGAGCAGGGCTGAGCTGGCGTGGACGAGACAGTGCCCTGATTTGTGTCGGGAGATGTTGGCGGCTTGGCAGAGGAGCTGGTTTGTCCTGCTGTGTAAGAGTCAGCTCGGCAGGAGAGTGTGGAAGAGCAGTCCCCACGCCAGGACAGCATTGTGGAGAGCACTGGGTCCAGGGCCCAGGGACCGCAGCAGTCTGCCGTGGCTGGACTAGGAGCAGGCGAGGACGCAGGAGGGAGTGGGGGCTGCATCTCAAGGGGCTTCATGTTCCAGGAAAACCCTGGAAAACTTGCACAGCAAGAAGCATAGTCACACTGTGTTCAAGAGAGAGTACGTCCCCACCTTCAGGTAACTTATCGGAAGGACAACTCACTCCAAAAGGAACAGTCCTTAAAAAAACATTTTTGGGAGGCTGAGGCATGAGGATTGTTGCAAGTTCGAGGCCAGCCTGGGCTACAAAGTGAGTTCAAGGCCAGCCTGAACTGCATAGTGAGACCGTGTCTCAAAAAAAAAAAAAAAAAAAAATCATGGGTCAGGCATGGTGGCATATGCCTGTAATCTCAGCACTCAGGAGGCTGAGGCAGGGGGAGCGTCACAAGCTCGAGGCCAGCTTGGGTTACATAGTGAGATGTTGTCTCAGAAAAAAAGATCATGATTACTTTAGAGAATTTGGAAAATGTAAAAGAACAAACAAAATTAAAATTACAAATAATTGCATAAGTAGACATGGGACCATTAGCAAGTGTTAATATTACATTGGGATCAAACACTAAAGAGAATTTTATATTCTTTTCCCCCAGTAGTGTAGTATTAGGAACCTTCTCTCATGTCAGGAAATAGATCATGAAAGCAAAATTATGCTAGTGCTGGAGACTGCAGATGTTTCCAAGCTGGTGAAAAGGCTACAGAGAGAGGGCAGCATGTGTAAGAGCATAAATCATAGTGCCTGGTTGTGAGTTTCCATTAGTGCTTGTTGAATTAAACACCAGGTAGAACTACCTTGGGCCTGAGTGATGGAGGTTTTGGAAAAAAAAAAAAAAGGTATCTGTAAAGAGAGACTGAATTTTAAGTTTTAAGTAAAAATCAAGTGCCATTTGATGGTGGATATTCTACATATGGATAATTATTATTCTCCACACCTGGATGCTGTTATGGTGTTTTGGCATTGGTATTTAATTAATATTTAATTTAATTAAATGCTGAGAAGAATAAGTCTGTTACCCATCTTGCATTTGCCTTTTCATTCATCTTTCTCTTGCTGTCAGTGTTTGAGCAGCTTCACTAAAGAGTGTAGAGGAAAGAAAATCACAAAATCACAAGTAGCATGTTTCATAAAAACATAGGTACGATGACAACTACTCTGGTTCAAGGAAGAGTTAAGAACAGCTGAACCAATGAGACTTTTAGTTCTTCATATATTTCTCAAGTGTGTGTGTGTGTGTGTGTGTGTGTGTGTGTGTGTCTATTAGATTGGGTCTTGTAAGAGAGCTCGAAAATAATTGGGATTTAGAAGTTTAATTGCTCTTTCAAGTGAAAATCTGATGTGGCAATTCTGCAGTCATCCAGATCGAAATTCCTTCTGGGGAGAGCAAGCATTCTTTCGAAGGGCAGATCCAGTAGCTGCAGACATTACTTGAACTAACATGCTATTTGCCAGACTGCACCTCACGTAGCTGCAAGGGAGTCTGGGAGAACAGGCGTAGTGGTTGGCTCTGTGCTGGCTGCAGTGTGCCCCTTCTTTCCTAAGGGAAGGCGGACAGGCTGGATGCTGCTGAGCAAGGTCAGCTGCTGACTTCACTCAGGACTGTGGAAGGCGAGTTAAACTGCTGTGCTGTGAAGTCCCTTCCTGTCCCAAGACACTGGTCTTGCTGTTTGCAGATGAGGACTCAGAGCCCCCTGAGGACGCGGAAGATGAGATCCCCGTGGTGATCTGTGCTGCAGCCGGGAGGATGGGTGCCACCATGGCTGCCATCAACAGCATCTACAGCAACACAGATGCCAACATCATGTTCTATGTGGTCGGACTCCGGAACACTCTGCCTCGAATACGGTCGTGCGCTCGGCATCTTTGAGCTTTCTGCTCTTTTAATCTCCCCTTCCTTTCTCTGGTGATTCCCTTCCTCTTTGGATGGATGAGTGTGTAGGAATTAACAGGGACTGTCCTGAGGATGAGCTGGTGGCCTGGCGAATGTGTTGCTCACTCAGGACAGGTCAGCCAAGCTGCATTCGTCTGCTGGGCGTGTGCCACCCTGGAGAAGTGAACTGTTTAGCAAGCTGAAGGACCCAGCCCTTATGCAAGTCTAGGAAAGGGTTCTCTGTTCTCCACTTTCTTTTCTTAACCTGAGAGAATACTAGCGTAACTTAATGATTTTAATATGGCTTTGAGTAATTATATATGTAATTCTCTATTTATTTATTTATTTATTGATGCTGGGTTTTGAACCCATGGCCTTGCACATACTAATCATAACCTGTACCATTGAGCTACATCCCCAAGCCTTTTTACTTTACTTTGAGACAGTCTTGCCAAGTTGCCCAGGCTGGGATCCTCCTGTCTCAGTCTCTCAAGCAGCTGTGAGGCACCACCATACCCTGCTACTATAATACCATTTTTGAACTGCAAACTTATAATTTTGAGCTGAGTTTCACTATCACAATCCATACTAAAAGTTAAATTCGTAGCCAGCTATGGTGGCGCATGACTGTAATCCCAGCACTCGGGAGGCTGTGGCAGGAGGAATGCTGCAAGTTCAAGACCAGCTTGGGCCACATAGTGAGTTTAAGGTCTGCACTACATAGCAAGACCCTGTCTCAAAAAAAAAAAAGTTAAATTTGAGTTAGATTATGTAGAAATAAACAGAAAACCAAAATGTAAGTATATTATACAAATGCGAGATGACTATAATCTTATGTCAAGAGCACCTCCCTGGGCCCAGAAATAATAAGAAAAAACTGACAGATCCAGCTGTGTAACATGAAAACTTTTAAATAATGAAAGCCCACTAGTGAAATTAGTCATGCCACAATTAGGAGAAAATATTCTCAACATGTCTTACAGAAAAATAATTACTATTCAAAATAAGCTATTCTCCAAAAAGCATTATAAAAACACAACTTCCAAGTTTTAAATCCTGAGTATGATTATTATTATAAGTGTTGACTTATTTTTTCCTTAATTTTAAGTTTTGAAATGTAGACCTCTGATTAGTCAACAAAATTAAAAATAAAGAATTGTTTAAAAAATACAAGTCTGCCCGGTGTGGTAGAGCATGCTTATAATCCCAGCACTTGGGAGGCTGAGGCAGGAGGATCACCAGGAGTCCAAGGCCAGCCTGGGCTACAGAGTGAGTTCAAGACCAGGCTGCACTACAGTGTGAGACGCTGTCTCAAAAAAAAAAAGAAAGAAAGAAAGAAAGAAAAACAGAAGGAAAGAATGAAAGAAATACAAGCCTAGTAGAAAAAAGATGAATATACAGTGAGGCCCTGGGTTTGATGCCCAACCCTGGAAAAAAAAAAGAACCTTATGGTAGTTCATAAGGAAAAATCAAGCCCGGCGTGGTGATACACGCCTGTAATCCCAGCACTCAGGAGGCTGAGGCAGGAGGATCATTGCATGTTCAAGATGAGCCTAGGCTACAAAGTGAGTTCAAGGCCAGCCTGAACTGCATAGCAAAACCATGTCTCAAAAAGACAAAACAAAAAACAAAAAACCTAGAAGGAAAAATATAAATGGTCCACTAACAAAATGCAGGTTCCCAGTTCTTGGCTATGCAGCCCACACCCCCCTTTCCATATTTTAAAAACTGTTATTGAAGTGAACAGAAAAAGAAAATTGTGTTCCTCACAGAGTGAATGTGTTCATGCAACCCTGTATCCTCACCGACACTTGGTATTGTCAGTCCTTTCTCACCGAATCCCATGGGTTTAACTTTCAGCTCCTTACTTCTGACACAGTTGCATACCCACTTCTCGGTCATTTGGAAATATGTGTTCAGTTCTCTTGCCTATTTTTCCACTAGGTTGGCTGTTTTCTAAATTAATTAATTAATTAATTAATTAATTTTTGTTTTTTTGAGACAGGGTCTCACTATGCAGTTCAGGCTGGCCTTGAGCTCACTTTGTAGCCCAGGCTGGTCTTGAACCTGCAACAATCCTCCTGCCTCAGCTTCCCGAGTGCTGGGATTACAAGTGTGTGCCACCACACCTGGCACTGTTTTTTTTCTTACTGATATGACTGATTTTTAAGGTTCAAATTTTGCAGATCTAAGTTGTTTTTTCAGGTTTTTTGTTTTTTTGAAGTGCCAGGGATAAAACCCAGGAGCTCACATACGCTAAGCAAGCACTCCACCACCGAGCTATAGTACCTGCCTTCTTTTCTTAAGATACAAACGCTACCACATGTGGCTTTAATAATTGGAAATTTTGCTTTGAGATTGTGTCCACCAACAGTGTCCTTATGAACTGGGTAAAAGTGGTTCTTTAAAACTGAGAAAATGGCCGGGGATATACCTCAGCAGTACAAGTGCCTGCCTGGCATGCACAAGGTCCTGAGTTCAATTCCCGGTACCCCCCCAAATAAATAAAAAATAAAATAAAATAAAATAAAATTGAGAAAATGGCTGGGTGTGATGGTGCATGCCTGTAATCCCAGCTACTGAGCAGGCTGAGGCAGGACAATGATGAGTTTGAGGCCAGCCAGGGGTACACAGTGAGTCCCCAGTATTGTAAAAACCAAACCAAACCAAACCCAGCAAACAAAAAATCCACAGCAGAGTAAAAATGACCAAAGCAGAAGGTTCAGAATGTCCCACTTCGTAACATTTCAGAGCTGCCACCATATGGAAGAAAGATCTGGCAGCTGTACATGCTGCTTTATAAAGAAAAAGGAACATTCTTTTTTTGGTCTTCGTTTCCTGGGGAGACTATTTGGATCTGAGGAGATATTTGGTTACTGTTTTGCCTTATTTCCTTTGCAGAAAGTTATGTAATGGGGAGGTGGGGTGGCAGGGAAGAAAAATTTGAAGCCAGACCAGATGGTTGAGAAAAATCAGAAGGGAAAAATCAGAAGGACTCACAAACTAAACTCTACTGAGTTTATACACATTTTCCTTTTGAGTCTAAGCAGCAACAGATTGGCCCTGGGGCAGGAGGCAAATGGAGATCTGAGTGTGTTTTCACTGTCTCTTTAGGAAGTGGATCGAACATTCCAAACTGAGGGAAATTAACTTTAAAATCGTGGAATTCAACCCTACAGTCCTCGAGGGAAAGATCAGACCGGACGCGTCGAGGCCTGAATTGCTCCAGCCTGTGAGTAGGGGTCACGGACGCTGGGACAGTCCATACAGAGCGAGTTCAAGGCCAGCCTGAATTACAAGGCCAGACCCTGTCTCAAAAAAAAACAAAAAAGCAGGCCGCGGTTCTGTGTGCGTGTCCGGGTCTGAGAGGCCAGATTGCGGCCGGGAGAACATCCCCAGCCCTCGGCCGCTGTGCGCTCAGCGCCTGCACCCTGCGCTCCGCTCCCGTCTGTGCTCCGTTATTCCCGACTGCAGGTATTTGTTGTCAGGTAGGAGCGAATGGGAGCCATGACATGGTGCTGTCGCCAATGAAACTGAGAACCCTCGCCAGCTCCCGCTCCCCACCTTGTTCGGGCGGTTGCTGGGATGGGGCCGAGCACAGAGGCGTGCGTGGGGCTGACTTGGTGGCGTTCTCACCGTGACCCACCGCGGGGGAGACAGGCAAGCTGTGCCCTAAGATGGGCCAGGAACCAGGGGACAGGGACCCTCCAGACCCCGCGGCATTGGAGGGGAGGTGGGGGTGGGACACAGCAGGGCGCCAAGCCCAGCCCCGCAGGACCTGCCAGTGAGGCCCCCTCCGGACGTGGCGTGGAGCCGTGGCCGTGGTCAGCGCCGACGCCCCATCCCCGCAGGAGACCTGGAGCCTCTGGCTCCCCCTGACTCACGTCTTCTTGTTTAACAGCTGAACTTTGTTCGATTTTACCTCCCGCTGCTTATCCACCAGCATGAGAAGGTCATCTACTTGGATGATGATGTCATTGTGCAAGGTACACTGGCCTCGGCCAGGGGCACGCGGACAGGGGCAGCGTCCACTCTCTGCGGAGCCCGCTGACCCCAAGTGCTTAGGACAGTAGTGAGCACAGCCCAGTTAGAAATGTGGGCCTGCTTGGAAAGCAGGGTTGAAAGTCTCCCGGTCGGTCCAGCTGCTTTGGGATGGCCACCTTCTGATGATCGAGTCTGCAGTAACTAGGGCGGCAGCCGGTCCCTTAGAACCCTAAAATGTGCAGAGAGCTGGGCATGGTGGTGCACACCTACAATCTCAGCACTTGGGAGGCAGGAGGATTGCTGAGAATTCAAGGCTACACTGAGATACATGATGAGTTTAAGGCCAGCCTGCATTACATAGCAAGAGCCTGTCTCAAAAACCCAACGAAACAGCTGGGTGTGGTGGCACACGCCTGTCATCCCAGGAGTGCTGCAAGTTTGAGGCCAGCCTGGGCTACATATCGAGACCCTGTCTCAAAAACAAAACCAAAAAAAACCAAAACAACCCCCCAAAACAAAAACAAAAAGTGAAGAAATAGTTCCCCCTATGATATTCTTAGTGACCTAAATTTGGGTGATTTTTGGACAGCGTCTGATTATGTAGCCCGGGCTGGCCTCAAACTCACAGTGATCTTCCTGCCTCAGCTTCTGGACTGCTGGGTGTATAGGTGTGCACCACCAGCCCGGCTAGCACAAAGCTCTCATTAAGCAAATTGCCAAGCTGCCTGACACCAGGGCCTACCCCGCCCCCCAGCAAGGTCAGGAACTGTTAAGCTCCAAGGCTGTACCTCTAAAACGTGTGCCGGGGCCGAGGATACAGCTCAGTGTATAAGTGCCTGCCTGGCAAGCGAAAGTCATGAGTTCGATTCCTGGTACCAAAAAACCCCCACCGCCCCCCCCAAAAAAACGTGTGTGCTAACATTGAACTGTGGGCGTCTCCTGTCCAGGTGACATCCAGGAGCTGTACGATACCACCTTGGCCCTGGGCCACGCAGCAGCTTTCTCAGGTGACTGCGACTTGCCCGCAGCTCAGGACCTCAGCAGGCTGGTGGGGCTGCAGGTGGGCACCGCGGTCCTCCCTTCTCCTCCTGCCCGCGCCAAGAGCCATTCCGTCCTTTGGTCCCTGTCCTCCCGCCTCAGCCCGGGCGAGTCCCACTCTCCTCTGAAACACAGCTCTGCACGCTACCATGAGCTGACATGAAATAACGGGCTGGCCACGGCCCCAGCATGCGCAGGCGACCCGGAGACACAGCTGAGAGGCTGCTTATCACCACCTCGACGCTAGATGCGTCTGCTGTGAAAAAAGACTCCCTGACCAGGGGTGCTATCCACTCCCTTCTGTTTCTGAGAGAGGGTCCTGCTAAACTGCCCAAGCTGGGCTCTCAAACCTGTGATCCTCCTGCCTCAGCCTCGTAGAGTGCTGGGATTACAGGTGTGCAAAGCTATACCCAGCTTTTATTTTTCCTCTTAGTGGAGGAAAATACTAATTTTGTTCAAGAACAAAGATCTCTTTACCCTGCTATAAATAAGGAAATTTCAAGCTATATGTAATGCTAGCAAAAAAAAAAAAAAAAAAAGCTTTGCATACCTATAATCCCAGCACTTGGGAGGCTGAGGCAGGAGGATTGCTACAAGTTCAAGGCCAGCCTGGGCTACAGAGTGAGTTCAAGCCCAGCCTGAACTGCATAGGGAGACGTCTCAAAATTGTAAAAAATCCTTTTTTAGAAACAAATGACCCCCATTCCCTCGCAGAACACGTACATGGGCTACCTGGACTACCGGAAGAAGAGCATCAAAGACCTGGGCATCAGCCCCAGCACCTGCTCCTTCAACCCCGGCGTGATCGTGGCCAACATGACGGAGTGGCGGCACCAGCGCATCACCAAGCAGCTGGAGAAGTGGATGCAGAGGAACGTGCAGTACGCGCCTGCCGCCTGCGGGCCCTTTCTCTGCCGGTTGGGGCTTACAGACACTTCGACCGCGAGGGCAGGCTCTTGAGACCCCGAGCATGAGGGAAAGGGCGGAAGTGAGATGTGCTCTGCCAGTGACGGGGCACAGAAAGGTGGACTCCCCGGGTCCAGGCGTCCCTGCACCTCTTCCGAAGTTGTTCAGGAACGTACCTTTTTCAGTGAGAATCTTCCCATAAAAATTTGGTTTTAAGGACTATTTTATAAAGTCAAAAAGGCTTTTTAGAGTTAGATGTTTTTTGGTTTTTTGATGTCTAAATTTTTTTTGGGGGGGACCAGGAATTGAACTCAGGACCTTGCACTTGTCAGGCAGGTGCTGTACTGCTAAGCTAGATCCCTGGCACAATTTTTGTTTTTTTGGAGACATGGTCTCCCTGTAAGGTCTAGACTGGCCTTGAATTCACTATGTAGCCCAGGCTGGCCTCAAACTTGTGCTGATCCTCCGGCCTCAGCCTCCTGAGTGCTGGGATTACAGGCATAGGCCACCATACCTCGCCAAAGGTTGGCTTTTTTTTTAATTTATAATTTTTCATTGTAAGTGTTTTAAAGAAAATAGAACACAACTGTCAAACAGTGGCTGTTGTGCCACTGTATTTCCTATCTGGGTATTTTAATACCATCATAACCTTGAATTGTAAGGTTAATGCAGGGTCAGAATTTTTTTTTTTCCGGTATCAGGAATTGAACTCACGATCTTGTGCTTGCCAGGCAGGCGCTGTGCTGCAGACTAAATTCCCAGCCCCCAGGGTCAGAATTTGATCTTTCATGTCTGCTGCAGAAAAAAGCCCGAGAGTTAAAAGCAGCAAGATATGAACACTGTGAATCCCAGAGGTGTCTATGGGAGTCCACAGTTCAACAATTTTTTGTTTGTTTGATTTTGTGAGACAGGACCTCACTGTGTAGTTCAGGTTGGCTGTGAGCTGGAGGCAGTCCTCCTGCCTCAGCCTCCTGAGTGCTGGGATTACAGGTGTGTGCCATCACACCTGGCTTGACAATTTTCAACATAAGCATTTTGGAAAAAACGAAAAGCCCGAGTCCAACTGTACAAAGAATGTCTCGGGTCTCTGTAAAGCGCCCCACCAGTGCCTGCTTTCTGTGAGGCTGTGGATGCCCCAGGCCGACCGTCTCTTCTTTGCAGGGAAAACCTGTACAGCAGCTCCCTGGGAGGCGGCGTGGCTACCTCACCCATGCTCATCGTGTTCCACGGGAGATACTCCACCATCAGCCCCCTGTGGCACATCCGGCACCTGGGTGAGCCCCGCAGGGCCGGCAGGGAGCGTGGGGCAGCGGGCGGAGACTGCGGCGGGCCTTGCACAGCCCGCACTGCTGTCCGCAGCTGGCGGAGCCCAGAGCGGCGTCGAGGCACTGTGTGGGCGGCTGGTGCCAGCTTCACCCCCATGGAGGCCGCAGGCTGCAGCCTGGCGCTTTGCTTTCCCCTTAGGCCTTGTGCAAGCCACGAGGGTGCTCGCCGCCGAGCGGCCCCCAGGTCTAGGCCGTGGGCCATCACCCCACTGTGCTGCTGCTTCCCCTTGGCTGGCGTGTGGTCGGCGTCGCCACCCCGCCCCCTCATGGGAGCCGAGGCTGACGGAAGGAGTGAAGCCGGGAGGGCGCGCAGGTGGCCCAGCAGAGGTGGCACAGAGGGCCCACGCTCTCTGACCTGAGGCCACAGACCCGGGTCCAGTGTGCCCGGGCCAGAGCCACTAGGAAACTGGGAAATGTTGTTTTCTTGGCACCAGGAATCGAACTCAGAACCTTGCTCTTGCCAGGCGGGTGCTGTGCCACTGCGCTATCTCCCTGGCCCAGTGTTCTGGGTTCCGACAAAGCTGAGGCGTGTCAAGGGGAAGCCGAGTGTTACTGCCATGCACGCACGCAGGCCGGCAGCGCCTGGAGGACTCTGTGTGCGTCGCTAGCAGAGCCCTTCCGCCTGAGCGCACACGCACAGAGCACAGGGCGGCGCGTGGTGGCGCACTCCCGTCGTCCCACTGTGTGGGGCTGAGGCAGAAGGGTTGTGAGCTCAAGCCCGGCCTGGGCAGGGCAGCAGTTCTGTGAGACGCCACGGAGTCGGCGCTCTGGGCACGTCGGGGAGGGACGGCTCTGTGAAGCTCAGGCTGGTGAGGTCAGCACTTGCTGTCTTGGAATGCAGAGCTGGGCTTCACTTTGGGGGACATTTAACTTCCTGACAGGGAGAAGCGGGCACAGGCTCCCTAGAGAAGACCCACCCTGGGTAAGGCCTGGGTGGTTGGTGTGGTCTGCAAACCTACACAGCAACCATTCCATCTGGTGTCAGGGCTCTTTGGATGCCAAAAGCAGTGTTAGCACTAATGGGTCTAAACAAGTAGACTCAGAATTTTAAGAATTTATAAACCACATTCGGGGGCTCTTGGTTTAATCCCCAGCACCACAACAAGATTATATATATAAAATTTATAAGACATCCTTAGCCGGAAACAGCAGTTATCACCAAATCTGAGGTGATTCGTTTTCTTTGGAGGCAGGGTCTCACTATGCAATTCAGGCTGGCTTTGACCTCACTATGTAGTCCAGGCTGGCCTCGAACTCACAGCGATCCTCCTGCCTCAGCCTCCCGAGTGCCAGGATGATGGGCGTGCGCCCGCTGTGAAGCAGCTCTGTGCAGCCCCCAGCCCAAAGCTGGAGTCACGCAGGAGACTTCGCAAGGCAGAGTCCTCCCACGCGCACTGGCGCTGCAGGGACTCACTGTGGACTCAACGTCACTCTCATCTCGTCACTCTGGCCGCAAACGACTGGCTCCTCATCTGCAGCGGCCGTCACACCTCTGCCTCCAACCGCACTACCAGCTCCCAGCGCTGTGTCACAGCCACGACTGACAGCGCCCCGGCTCTCCCCTGCCCTGCCCAATGGCTCTCTAGTTACTGAAAGACAAACAACTACCCTTCATGGGAAGAAATGCACCATGCAGGGTATTTTTTGAAAACTGATACTCACATGACCTGAGATACTCTAGGAAACGCGTTCTAAAGTTATTCCAAGTAGTGGCAATATGAAGGTATCTTCAGTGCACCCTTGGGTTTAGTACTTTCTTATTAACTTGTATTCCACTTCTCCTAGAACGTTTCTGTAATTCCTTCTCTAAGGCCGATTGCTTTCTTCTCATCACGCTGTAGGCTGGAGTCCCGACGCCAGGTACTCGGAGCGTTTCCTGCAGGAAGCGAAGCTACTGCACTGGGACGGGCAGCACAAGCCCTGGCGTTTCCCCAGCGTCCATGCCGACTTGTGGGAAAGCTGGTTCGTGCCAGACCCTGCGGGGATATTCAAACTCAGTCACAACAGCTGACAGAACCCGCCGCTGGAACTGTTTGTTTTTCTTTTGTTTTGTTTTTTTTCTGGTACCAGGAATCGAACTCACGACCTTGCACTTGCCAGGCAGGCGCTGTGCCGCTCAGCTAAATCCGCGGCCCCTTGGAACTGTTTTGTATAAAAACGTGGAACTGTCCCTTTGTAGCTGTTCTTAATGAGCACTGCCTTTAATCTGTATGCTCCTTTGATACACTGTGTCACGTCAGAAACAAAAACCACCATGCCAGCTCTACCCGGGGCCTAGGCACTTCTTTAAATACAGTCCAAGTGGTAGCTGTGGAAGTCAGGACACGCTAGAAAGAAAAAAACCCACCTAGATCAGCAGTCAATCTGCTTAGCACTGAGCGACAGTTACATCCATAAATTTTTAAATTTCTAAATATATTTTTTGCATCCAAGTATAATTTTTTCTTTTCCTTCCAGTACCAGGAATCGAACTCATGACCTTGCGCTTGCCAGGCAGGCACTGTGCTGCTGAGCTAAATCCCCAGCCCCGAAGGTTGCCAATCTTGTCTTTTATCAAAACTATTACATTTAAAACATGGAAGTCTATAAAAATAAAATACTCGTGGATTTTTATGATTTCCTCATAACACATACATTACTCTCCATGTTACACAGGAGGTGAACGTCAGTCAAGATTGAATGGGGAAAGAACGCCATTAAGCTTTGATACACAAAAAGCCTGTAACTTAAGGATAATCACTCTTAGTATTTTTATGGTAGAAATCACCAGACTTTCAAATGAATTTAAAAATCTTTCAATATCATTTAATGAAAAGTCTATACTGTCATGTACAGGGTATGTCAACATTTTCTAGTCATCCGTCCTGTTGGATGAATCCATTGTGCCCATACGCTTGGGAAGCCCGAACCCCACGCTGGTCAGTGGCTGGCAGCCCAAGAGAAGCCTACGGCAGGGCCAGGGCAGAACGCAGCGAGCGGCACCGGGCCGGGGAGACCATCACCCCCCTCCTGGTCCCTGACACAAGCCGCTCCACCCCGGGATCGCCGCGTGCACAGCAGCACCGCGCATCATTTAAATACCACGAGCAACTTCCACACTGCGTGACCCACACAAATAAAAATACAATCCATCATGGCTACAGCTAAAGAGCAGGGTAAGATTTACAGCAAGGACTTGTTCCTCTTATAAATAGAACGCAGGCCACACGCCCTCCTGCGGGACAGGGAAACCTCAGGGCGCTCACACTGCCGCAAAGGCGCGCACCTGGCCACACAGTCAGGGCCTGGGAGTGTCAGAGTGAGTGCGCACGGCCTGCGGGCTGGACTGTTCGTAGCACCATGGAAAACGCGTTAGAAACTCACAAAAGTCCAGAATTGCACCTTTCTGTGAGGTTCGCTGCGCTCACAGTAGCAAACAGCAAGGATGCACATCTAGTTTCTAAATTATTGACTCATTACATCGACCTAATAGGAAAACATCTACTGTTTAATTTAGTACATCTCATGTACACAAAGCACCTGTTTAAATAAGATTATCAAACACCTGCAGCACCTGGTGGCTCAGCCTGAAAGTTCCTTTCCTATGACGCTCCGTGCCAAGCAGGGTAAACTCAGAGGAGACGAGCGCTGACAGATCCAGTTCCTCCCCAGCAAATCCACGCCTGGGAGCTAGAGACAAGCAGCACAGTCTCCTGTGTCTCTGGAAGCCGCCAGCTCGGCGGACATACTGCCCACTAGACCAATAATTAGCACACAGGGTCAGGCCCTGTCCACAGGGCCACGTTAGCCTGGCCACGGCAACGCCAGTGTTTCTACTCTGAGCCACTGTCACAGACGTCACCACGGCAAAGGGAAGTGGCCTGAGCGTGAACACGAGCTGGCAGGCCTGAGCTCATCTGTCTGGCGTGGTCACCTGCCTCTCCCCAGTGTCGTCTGGCCAGATGCCCATCTTGGGCACACAAGGGTAATAGCTTAGTGAGGGGTACACAGTTAGGAATCAAGTATAAATATTCAAACTGTTGCATGGTGTCTCACTATGTAGCCTAGGCTGGTGTTGAACTCATGGCAATCCTCCTGCCTCAGCCTCCCAAGTGGCTGGGATTACAGGCATGCACCACCATGCTCAGTCAGCCTGCTGTATTTTAAAATTACAGATCGGGAGTGATTCCAACAAGAAAATCGGATTCTTCATAAAGGAAATATAGCATATAAAAAGCTGGCATGAGAGCTAGTTCAAATACAAAAACGCATAAAAAAGCCCCTATTTCTCCCTTCCCAACTACTCAGGTCCATAGGGCTGATTCTGTCACACGGCTCTGCCGTGCCAGGGTTATCACTCGGGTAAGCACGACTGATAGGCGTCAGTCAGGAACCGAGGCGGCCTTCCCGAGAGCTGCACTAGAACTGCAGCAGCCGGCAGCATGGAAGCTCCGTCCTCAGGCGTGGCTCCCTTCCTGCAGCTCCTGCGGTCCAGGACGGTCGGCCAAGGGCGGGGTCTGGTCCGTGAAAGGCTGGGGCATCCACTGTCCATTCGGGATGCTACCGAACGCCGACTCCCCGAACTCGGCACTGCCGGCTGCAGAGAAAGAGCACGGGCTCGCTGTACACAGGCGGTCTAAATCACCCGACAGGGCTTTGGGGGGACTTCAGGAGTACACTGAAGGAGAGCTACTAAGAAAATATTAGTCAAGCTTCTGGAATAAATTCTATGTCTGTTCTACCTAAGATACAGCACTGGTAACCCTCATCTGTTACTCAGGAAGGAAAGGGAAACATGGCTGCCTGAGACCCTGTGACTTACAGAAAATGAGCCGTAAGAGCTTGCTTAGATTTGCTTTTTTTTTTTTCTTGTTTTTTTTTCCAGTACCGGGAATCAAACTCACGACCTTGGGCTTGCCAGGCAGGGGCTGTGCCACTGAGCTAAATCCCCAGCCCCTGATCTGTTTTGTTTTGTAGCACTAAGGACCAAACCCAGGGCCTTCACACTGAGCTATATGCCTTGCCCTTTGTAAAATTTTGAGACAGGGTCACTAAGCTGCTGAGGGTAGGCTCCCACCTGTGGCTCCAGCCCTCCCAAGTGCTAAAACTACAGGAGCGCACGCTGCACCCCGCTGAAGCGTGTGTGGTCACACAGCAAGCAATAGCCAGTCACGGTGCTCGGCACTGGCTGGCCTCAGTCCTCCCAGCCCGTCCCCACACCGACGAGGGACGAGCGCGCGGGGTCGGTCATACCCAGCCCGTTGGAGGCGAGGCTGCAGGGCTCAGCGCCCCCTGGGTTCTCGCTGTACACCCCGCCGTAGGCAGCTTCGTAACCCGGGTCGTACTTCTCCTCCTTCACAGCCATCTTCTTTGCATCCTCTACAGGGAGAAAAACAAGTTAGGGCTGGTTTCACACAGCGACTCTGTCAAAACTTTATCCAGAAATCACGCATCATTCTTTTCCTTCAATGCGATCAACTCTGTGTAGCACACACTGGGTTCTTAGAATTGCAAACACCCGGCCCACTCGATCGTGGGCAGGAGGACCCAGAGCAGGTGAAAACGTAGGTGAAGGGGGCGTACGTGACTAGCATCCATCACAGTTCGTGCACGCTGACTGCAATACAGTGATCTTTTCTCCTGCCTTTTACCCCGCACACGCTTTCTGTAACACACAGGCGAGGACATGAGTAAAGGGGGTCGCAGGAACGCACCTTGGGCGAGCTGCAGGTCAAACGTATAGCGCACTTCCTGCACGTCCGTGTTCCGCTCGATGCCCTTGAGCTGGTCCCGCAGGTCCTTCAGCTTAATGTAGTAGTGAACCTTGTCCTGGGCGCGGGGGAACTGCGCACATCTGGCGCTGGACGATGGCATAACGTAACAGAGCTGGAACCGTAACACTGCAGTTTCAGAAACCTCACAGTTCTACTCAATACTGAGATCAGAAAAGTTACGTTTGCTTGGGTTAATAACTTGATACGTAACTACACAGATGTGTAAAATCACTAACAGTTGTACTTAAGGTCAGAAACATAATATACTTAGGAAGTCAATAAACTAAAAACAATGCCCTCTTCCCTGGCGTTTGTCTGTCAGTAGGCTTTCCTTCTCAGCAGTAAACTTACTGCTCGAAATTCCGAAGGGACGAAAGGGCACAGGAGGGTACAGTAAAGTCCTCTACTCCCCTTGGTGCCCAGCTGCCCAGTCCCCTCCCCTGGGGCAATCAGCACGGTCAGTTCCAGAGGTGTCGTTTCAGGTGACGTGCACATGACGTGTGCCGTGGACTGGGTGGTTTTAAAGGTGTAAATAAAACCTAAAAGCGTAAGAAGCAATGCTGGCGCTAAGTGTCCGGAGACGCTGCAGAGATGGGCTGCGAAGCACTGGCTCGTTTCCTGACGGCCTCCTACGCGACACCTGACAGATGTTTATCTTTCCAATAAAGCTCTAACAGGATCTGAATTAATTTTTGGCTATTAAAAGTTGATATATAGATATTGTTTAATAAAATATAGTGTAGTTTAATTTATAGTAGCATAAAATGAGATGAATATAGCAAATTAAAAAAGACAGAAAAAAATTTCCGTTTAGCTGCTCTACAAACACGATTTTAAGGACTTACAGTTTCTGTGTCAGGAATCCTGTGTGGTTGAAGCCCAAATTCCAGGTTCTTAACCCTTACTCCAAAAACTTCTTTACTAAAAATTTCATAAATACCTAAGATGAAATACAAACATATTTATATTGCCCTAATGTCAGCATGGAAAAAAGACAGAATTTAAAAGTAAACCTTGGGGCTGGGGATTTAGCTCAGCGGCACAGCGACTGCCTGGCAAGTGTAAGGTCGTGAGTTCGAGTCCCAGTACCGGAAAAAAAACCAAAAACCAAAACAAAAACAAAATTAAAGTAAATCTTACATTTTCCATTAAACACCGCTATGCGTGGCTGATATTTCTGTAATTTCTGTACTAGAATACGTCCTCCTTCACGAAATTCTTTACTAAAATTGAATTAAAAAGTAGTAAAAAATATATAAATATGACAATCTTTATAATATGCTAAACTCAGCCTGCTTTCAATAAAAGACCCCATCACACGTGCCGAGCCCAGCGGGAAGCCGACCCACGCAACAGCCCCGGTTACACTGGTGCAGCGTGACCGGCTCCAGCACACGGACACAGCGGCGGGCTGGTTACCTGGAGAGGTCCTTGCTGCCCGGCGTCGTCCTCTCCACCATGTTGGTAAAGCCGATCCCATACTTTCCAGGCAAGGTGTGGTCGTCCATGTGGCTGAGCTGGACCTCGCTCAGCCCCGACATGAACAAACACTTCCCTGGGGAGAGAGGTCCGTTTGTCTCTGCAGGTCAAAGCGTCGAGGAAGTAGTCTGTGCTCTGCTCTCGGAATTACAGCTGCTCACGGGAGGAAGCTCTGAACCGGGCTTCCTTTCTGATAACTGATGACATCACACTACCTCCGGTCCACACAGAGACCAAAGCACTCCAGCGCCTCAACAGCAGAAGAAATTATTTTATTTTTTTATTTTTTATTTTTGGTCGTTTTGAGGCAGGGTCTTGCTGTGCAGTTGAGCTTACTTTGTAGTCCAGGCTGGCCTCAAACTTGCAATAATCCTCTTGCCTCAGCCTCCCGAGTGCTGGGATTACAGGCATGCGCCACTACGCCCGGCCTAACGCCAGAAGAAATTAAAAGCTCAAACTTCTCTAGGAAACCTTTAACGGAGATAGTGTATTGTTAATTCTACTTATTTATTTATTTTTTGTCTTTTTGAGACAGGGTGTCACTATGCAGTTCAGGCTGGCCTTGAGCTCACCACTTTGTAGCCCAGGTTGGCCTCGACCTCAAAATGATCCTCCTGCCTCAGCCTCCCAAGTGCTGGGATTATAGGCGTGCGCCACCATGCCCGGCTGTATTGTTAATTCTGAAAATAAATCCTGATCAGCTGCCCTAAATGTTCTTCCCGTTACTCTCGGGCTATCTACTAGCACGTTCTGAGAGCCTACTGGGCCTGCTGTTCTGCCAGGCAGGTTCAGGAAGAAAATGCCTGGCAGAACTTCTATTTCCAGGAGGACCACAGCTGGCTTCAAAAGCACTCCGAAGTCTGAGACCTTGCTACTGTTTTCTGCTGGCAGGAAGAGCCCACAGTGTCTCCAGTCATGATCTTTCCTAACCACTGCGACCTGACTGCCAGGGGTCGGGGCGCCAACGCTCGCCCAGGATGTAAGATCAGCAGACACCTGGAAAAGTCAGTATTTGGTCTGCACTAGCACAACATACTGCTGTTTCCACCTCTGAATGTAATTATTTAAAAACTAGCTTTACGAAGTGGTAAAATTCACGGAAAACAATTCAAAAGAAGAGAGAAGGCTAGGAGTGCAGCTCAGAAGGAAAAGTGCTTGCCCATTGAGGCCCTGAGTTTAATCCCCAGTACCAAAACTTAAACAAATAAAACAACTGGTCAAAAAAATAAAGACAGAGATGGGAGGTAGTGGGGGATTGAACCCAGGGCCTTACACACCCTAGGTGAGCTCTCCACTGCTGAGCTACCATTTTTTTTTTCTTCTGTGTGTCTGACAGGGTCTCATCAAGTTGGCCAGGCTGGCCTCAAACTTACTGCGGCCTTATCCTCCTGAGTAGCTGGGATTTCAGGGGTGTACTACCATGCCTGGCTAAGATAGCTCAATTAAAAGTAAATGCACCACTTACAGAAATGGTTTCCAGGTCCAGGGTAATGATGCCCTTTGTAGGCAGCCATGAGGCCTGGATTTATGCCAATCTATAAAACAAAATAATTATACATTTCAGTCTGAAAAAGTAGGGCATAAGCTCTAGCATTTCAATACAGTAGCAAACAGAACTGAACTGATGATAAAAAACAAATTTAATTCAGCACCGTCAACACTATCAATTAGTGTTACTTTTGGTCCAAAAAAAAAAAAAAAAAAAAAGTATTCCACAAGAGGAGATTTCCTTTCAGTTAAGCACTTTGCTGAGTTCACAAACAGGTCCCACCCTCACTGGCCAGGAAGAGAGGGCCTGGAGCACCTGGCCACAAGCCTGGTCCCCACGGGTACCGAGCAACGCCAGCTCAGAACCTCAGCTGTCACTCCGTGGTACCTGAGGCACCACACAATCGCAATGAGGCTCGTAGGCAACTGCACTGAACGCCATGCATATGCACCCCGCTCAGCGCCCCTGTGAGGAAACAGTCCTTAGGAGAGAGCACCGGGCGGGGCGGGAAGGGCCGTCACACGCACCAACTGTCCACGAGCGACGTAGCCAGTACCTTCTAAAGAGAGGCCACAAGAAGGCAAGAGAACTTCAGGCTTGGCCAAGGTCACCCGTGACCGCACCTGAACCCCAGCTCAATCCCACCTGTGAGCTCCGCCACGCCCCCAGCAGGGGCTCAGAATTGGTTCTTCTTAGCAAAATGCTAACTGTGAGAACTTAGGTGAAGGTGACCCACCAATACTGTTTATAAAATCAAAAGACAACAAAAATCCTTACAATCACGATGTCCAGATTGAAGGTCAAAATATCAGGGAGCGTCTTGGTCAGAAGTTCTGCCTCGGACACGCCGTTGAAACGGTCTACTTTCCTTTTCACCTTGAATGTGTCTGTAATTTTTTCTTGCTTTTCCTTGGACTTTGTGGCCTTGCTGGATTTTTTGGACTCAGCAGGTTTCTTGGCTTCCATGGGTGCCGTGGGCTCTGACACTCTGGCTTTTCTCTTCCTTCCTCTTGGAGTCCCTGAAACAATGACGTTGAAAATGTATTGCAGAGAAGCTGAACCTGGGGCCCCTGCAGCTTTCCCAAGAAAGTGATCCTGCAGACCCCTCCTCTCCCACACGGGTCCTCCGCAGCGTCTCCCCTTCTCCTGACGAAGGTTTGTTCAGGGGCCCCCTGCCCCCGTGACCGGACTCATGTTGCCACATGAGCGTATGTTCCGAGCTTACTGTCACCTCGGCTTCCTCAGGGACACGAGGTATTTTTTTGGGGGGTGCTTTTAGAGACAGGGTCTCACTATGCAGTTCAGGCCTCAGCCTCCCGAGTGCTGGGTGTGCGCCACCACAGCCGGCTCGAGTGCTAGGATTACAGGCGTGAGCCACCATGCCCGGCTCGACACACGGTATTTATGCACCATTTTACAGCAAGTCTAAACGTAAATACCTAAGTAATTAAAGGATGATTTTAACTCAATTTCCCAGCAGCAGAAAACCCGAAGTGGCTGCTGAGCTCGCTTTGAGATTTTGGGGCAGTGCCCACCATCCAAGAGGTGAAGCAGAAGTGCTGAGGGGCACCCTCCAGGCTGGAAGCCTCTTTCCCAGGCAGAAGCAGGGTCTGCCCTCAGCACCTCGCTGGCACCCCGGGCTGAGCTGTGCGCGATGCTAACAGCACCACCGTCTCTCCCCACCAGCTGGCAGGGTGCCCGCCAGCCCCGCGTCTCCGGACACTGCCAAACGTGCCCGGCTGTGGAATCACCTTGCGATCCACCGACCTGAAGTCACCCAGCAGGTTTTCTCACCCCAATTCTTGCTCTGTGACGGGTTCTTGCTACACAGCCCGCAGCTTGCAACAGCGCGCTAGGGTTACAGGTACGCACCCCATGCTGGGCCCAAGCTGCACCCTGCAGCCTCCTTCCTTGGCCTCCGTCCTCTGCCCAGACACTGCTACTGTGAGTCCTCCACTGAGACGGCGGGTCGCGGTCCTCCTTCTCCAGTGCCTCGCGCTACTCCAGCTGCTCCCGTTGGGAAGGGGCTGACAGCTGTAGTTTATAGCTGGGGAGCCCTGCGGCTCCCTGGATTCAGGCCCAGAGCTGCAGTACGATGGACTCGGGGTGCTCCTGGACCCCTACAGCGAGCTGTGGGCACGTTTCTCGCAGAAACACTGCCACGCTGGAGGGAGTTGTTACCTTCCCTGCACCCCACCTCCTGGAAATCCGCTGGGCTCCTCTTCCGTTTCTGTTCTGACACAGGGCTGCCCACAACAGGAGCCGGCGTTTGCCAGGGCCCGAGCTGGTCCGAGTCTGCCCCCTCAGCGCCCGCCTGTCGGAAGCCCGGCCCCAGGCAGCTGTGAGGGAGTGGCCTCAGGCTGGCGGGTGGGGTGAGAGCCCTGGAGGGGCCTTTGGGCGCTCCTCTGGCTTCTGCTGCATGATGTCACCCCCCACAGGCTCTGCCACCGAGCCGCCACCTGTCTCCGGGCCTTCAGTGCCTCCGGCCGGGGCCACACCCTGAGCCTCCAGCTAGTGTTAGGTAACCTCTGCCTCACAAAGTGCCCCGGGCTCAGCGCGCTGCTCAAAGCACAGAACGGGCCGACGCGCTTTCTCCCAGACACCTGGCTCTTTCGAGCCCAGAGGAAACTCACTAACCTCGGCCAGGAAACTGCCTGCAGGTACTTCCTGCCTTCTCCTCCCCGCTCCCTCACCCTCCGCTACCCCGCGCACTCCAGCCTCTCTGCTCTGCCTCCTGCCCCCATGCCCTTCCTGCCTCTTCACCCAACGCGTCCCCTGTATTTCCAGACTCGTTCTCAGTGGTGGGCACGGATCGCTGGGCCCTGCGCATGTTGGGAAAGTGCTTTGCCATGAGCTACATGCTCAGCCCTTTTTTTTTTGAGACAGGGTCTCACTATGCAGTTCAGGCTGGCCTTGAGCTCACTTTGTAGTCTATGCTGGTCTTGAACCCACAACGATCCTCCTGCCTCAGCCTCCGGAGTGCTGGGATTATAGGAATGCGCCACCATGCCGGCTCTCAGCCCTTCATTTTGATTCTGAGACACAGCCTTGCTAAGTTTCCCAGGCTGGCCTTGAACTTGGGATTCTCCTGCCTCAGCCTCTGAGGAGTTGGGATCATGAACATGTGTGGATCTAGTCAGCCCCACTGACAGAGTGAGGCCCTCCTTGCTCTGCACTGTGGGCCAGTTTTGGAATGCGGAAATCTCGCTTCTTCTCCACCATCAGGTCTTTTTTTTTTTTGTCTTTTTTTTTGAGACAGGGTCTCGCTATGCAGTTCAGGCTGGCCTTGAGCTCACTTTGTAGCCCAGGCTGGTCTCAAACTTGCAACGATCCTTCTGCCTCAGCCTCCCTCCTCCTCAGCCTCCCCAGTGCTGGGATTACAGGCATGCGCCACCACATCCAGCTTCAGCCACCACCAGATCTTGAAGGTCAATGAGGCTATGAGGCTCACAGGGCAGACGAGGTTGAGGTCCGCTGAAGACAGAGGGAGAACTAGTTCCCAAGTGTGGGGACGGATCTTAATTTGTTTCCTCTGTGAGGTTAAAACTGCTCCTTCAACCACTTCCCTGCTGTTCCTAGAAAAGCACCGCACCCCTCTACCTCCCCTGGCTAATGAAACAGCAGCCAGCTGGAAATTCGGGGTCTTTGTTCCCAGAGAACACTGATCATCCCAGAGGCCCATCCGTCTTGCTCCTTTTCTTTCTCGTTGTGCAACAAACTGCGGGCAAGAGATGGGGACTCACTGCAGTGGTGCCCCGTAATTGGCTGGGGGAAGGGCTGGCGATAATCCCCTTGCTCACACCCCGCTGCCTTCAGGACAGGACAACACCCAGCCCCAACTGCCCGTCCAGCCTCTTCTCTTCCTGTTCCTTGCTATGCCCGGGCTCCTGTGTCGCGTTGGGCCTTTCCTTCCCAGAACCCTTGCCGTGGTTGGTGCACACTAACTGCGTACGAAGGGGAAGCGCTGAAGCAGGGCTGCCATTCTTCCCGGAACCTGTTCCTGCACGGGCCGTTAACCCCGTGTCCCTGTTCCACACCGCCGCAGCGGCATCTACCTTTCACAGGTTCCTGGGCAGGAGCCGGGGCGGGGGCTTCTGCTGGCATCTGCTGTTCTGTCGCCGGGACTGCCAGGTGAGGAGCTTCAGCCATCACTGGTTGATATGGAAACGACGGGTAAAATGCTTGAGCTTGCTCAAGGGAATAGCTGGAAGGATAAGCAACGATGATCAAATTACCCAAATGTAAATTTTTATCTGCTTGCTTAGTTTTTACAATATTGGTGATCAAACCCACTAAGCGCTCTACCACTCAGCTACCTCCCAGACCTTTTAAAGGTTTTTTCCTTTTTTGTCTTTTTGAGGCAGGGTCTCACTATGCAGTTCAGGCTGGCCTTGAGCTCACTTTGTAGCCCAGGCTGGTCTTAAGCTCACAGTGAACCTCCTGCCTCAGCCTCCCAAGTGCTGGGATTACAGGAGTATGTCACCACGCCCGGCTAGGTTTTTTTCCTTTTGAGAAAGAATTCACTATGTAGCCCAGGCTGGCCTCAAACATGCCATCGTCCTACCTCAGCCCCCCAAATGTTGGGGTTACAGCTGTGTGTGACTGGGGCAGGCAGCCCAAATGTATGTTTAAATGGTCAGCTGTAAAAAAAATTCAGGATCCAAATTCTGTCACCAGATTGCAGCACTTATTTAGAGGAGGTAGGGGAAGAAGAGGAGGAAGCTCTATTCTTGTTTGCAAACAGCCACCACTTACGCAGTGCTTAGACAAGATTACCTGTGATGACACCAGGTGCCACCAATAAAACCTGCCAGTCCTGTCATGTCGGCCACACCTCTTCCTCTGGGATGAGGCCACGGGAATTTAGTAGACAGACCTGAAAGGCCCATCAACCCACACGGGCATCACTCCGTCCGTCTACAAGCATAATCTGTGCTCCTAGCCTTTGGCATTTATTTATCTGCAGAGAGATCCCCTCCAGTCTAAGTTATAGTTTTCTTTTATTTACCTGTTTTCTTACTCGTTAGACTTGGTTTTTGTTAGTGCTGGCTTTTTGTTGTGGTTGTCATGGAATGGGGACTAGGAATAATTATTTTGTAAATATCTATTCTTTTTTTTCTTTTTCTTTTTTTGCCTTTTTGAGACAGGGTCTCGCTATGTAGTTCAGGCTGGTCTTGAGCTCACTTTGTAGCTCAGGCTGGTCTCAAACTCGCAACGATCCTCCTGCCTCAGCCTCCCGAGTGCTGGGATTACAGGTATGCGCCACCACGCCCAGCTTTCTATTCAATTTATGAGGAAAAAAAAACCTAAGCTCTTCTAAACATGATTTAAGCTTTGTTCAAAGGAAGGAATGTGG